CCATCGTAAATTCAAGATTTACCTGCTTTATTTTATTTTTTAAATATTTTTTGTGAAAATGAGACTGATAGGATGATTAGGGTGCAGCGTACATTAACACAAAAAAATATATTACTAACATGTACAAAGACACACAAATGGTTGTTTTGTTTTTTTTCTCCTCGACACTCCTCGGATCTACTTGGGACCTGTCTTAGATCTACCGGTAGATCAGGATCGACGTAATGGGCACCCCTGATTTAGACTTTCGGGCATATGATTTGACATGACTGTACATACTTATAAAGTATACTCATATACAGTATGCCACTATTTTGTCAAGGCTGATGTAAAGGAGATTATCTGCCCTTATAGTTTAGAGTTTTTCCTACATTCAAAATTGCATGGCGGCCGCTTCCAACTAATTTGGGGTTGACTGTCCCTTTAAGTATGATTGTAAAACACTATATTACCCCTTTCCCAATGAAATTAGCGGGTAGTAGTGATCCGTGGCGACGCAAACAATTGGCAATATGTCCCTTTCCCATTGACCAACAGAAGGCGATTCGCCCCCTACCAACAGAAGGCGATTGCCCCCCCCACACACACACACACACACACACACTTCTACCACTTTGCGTCCGGTTACGTCACCACGCTGTGATTGCGTAGATGATAGTGCGACAGATTTCTTGGTGGTAAACAAACAACATGGAAGCAAGTGTTCTTTATTTTATCATGCTTTTTACAGTGCTCAAAATGGTCGAAAAGCAGCTGAGGATCAACTCTTTGCTACTACTGAGACAACGTAGACGACGTGAATATTTGGCCGAAATTGAAAGGAGTTGTATAAGTTACAGGAGGAGGAGAAGAGCCTTTGTTGCCTTCAATGTGGCTACAGTATTGCTAACGCTGCTACCAACAGTTTAAAGGGCGATCTCGTGGGGGCGTGCCACGAATCCGATGGCGCGCGATATTATGATGCATCACGTACCGCCCTATGTCATCACGTAATTACCGGGGAGTCCCGTGTTAGGCTTCCCAGCCCCCCCTGACAGCACTGGGTAGCTCCTTCAGCCAAAGACTGTTACACCCGTGCTGCAAGGAGAGACACTGCCGCTCGTTCCTCCCGACTGCTGTCAGGCTGCTGAATAAACATGCGTGAAAACCTGTAACCATTGTAAATAGCACAGCCACCTTATGTATGAATAAGATGCATATATGCAACTTATATTTATACTGTGTACAGTTTTTTTCTGAAACATTTTTGTGCAATGAAGCACTTTATCCCCCCCCAATCTTGCTGCTGTAGACTGCAAATTTCCCCAGTGTGGGACGAATAAAGGTTATCTTATCTTTACCCGTGATTTTGCAGCAGTGGGAAAGGGGTATATGTGGACTTTCTGTACTGTATTTCTGCGGCTTGGCCGCGCATGGCTGAGTCTCGCTCGCTTAAAATTTGAAAATGGTTTTCATGTGTGTGTGCTGCAGGAGAGAGAGAAACACATACCCACAAACGTGAGTGTGTCTCTCCCTCCATCATCATATTTTGGTCGTTGGCTGGCTTTAGATGTCTATCAACACCAAATTGAAAGAAGGTATGCGGTTGGTAGGACTGAGCTGTACATGCAGCGCGAGTGTGGAAAGTCCACAGTTGACTGATATAATTTTCATTGTCAATATGAACCTTAAATGTTCATATCTAGATATTAATACAACAGTGATACATTCGCCAGTCATACGACTTCCAATAAGAGTTGGCAAAGTTACCAGGGGGAGGAAACTGCTGAAACTGTTGCCTTGCGACATAACCCGGATAAGCGGAAGAAGGTCTCTAGATAAGTGAGCCTGTTGTAATAAACCGTGCACATACTGTATGCATCCAGGAGGAAGATCTCGTCGAGTCTCACAGCCGAGAGGAAGCAGCAGAGAGACGAATTCAACAGCTTCAGGCAACCATCTGTCAGAAAGAGACCAGGTGAGTACAAAAGAACTGTAGCTTCACTTGAAATGTCTCGTTTCATGAACTCACTTTATTGCTTGAGAATTTCTACTACAGCTGGGGTGCTCATTACGTAGATCGTGAGCTATTGGACTGGTAGCTCGCGAAGGGAGTGTTGGTATCTCTCATAGCGTCAACTCAATCACTGCGAGCCCTCACACTTTTTTTTTAAATAGCTGCCTGTCAACAGCACTGAATTTAAGAAAAACTAAATTCGACTCCCTCCGATCCGTTGTGAAATTTGTCATCTGATTAACATACAATCATATACGTATTGCATACCGCATCATGTATAAATAGAGGTTCATTCAGTTATGCAAGTTAAAACAATATACAGTGCTGTGAAATAGTATTTCCCCCCTCTTGATATCTGTGTTCTTTGCATATTTGTCACATTCAAAGGTTTCAGTTCCTGAAACCAATTTTAGTATCACACAGAGACTACCCAAGGAAATAAAATATACAGTTTGTAAATGCCAATTTAATTTATTAAGGCACCAAAAAAAAATTAAAATCCAAAATTGCAAAGAAGAGTGGACCAAAATTCCTCCACAGTGATGAGCAAGACTCATCACCAATTAGCGCAAACGCTTGATTTCAACTATTGCAGTGAAAGTTTCAGAAATCAATTACTTTTTCACATAGGGACAGGTAGATTTGGATTTGTTTTGTCTCTGAATAAAATAAATTAGCATTTAATAACTGCATTTTGAATTGCGTCTGTGTGATATTCAGTTTGGTTTGATGCACTGAAACATTTGTGTGTGATAACTATTGCAAAGAACAGAAATAAGGAAGGGAGCAAATACTTTTTTTACTGCCCTCAATATTGTACATATAAAGAATCCAAAGTATATTTTTAGTGAATTCATAAATAATCATTTGACCTTGGTCATTTTATAAGTATGGTCACCCCTGTACTACAATATATGCAGTATATGAGGGGCGCCAAAGTCTGGTCCTCAAGAGCCCCTGTCCAGTCTGTTTTAGATGTCTCCCTACTCCAGCACACCTGCTCAGCAAGCTCATCAACAAGCTTTGCAGAAGCTTGAGAACAATCCTGATCATTTCAGGATTCAAGTGTGCTGGAAAAGGAGCCATAAAACAGGCTCCCGAGGACCAGACTTGGGCACCTCTGCTATACAAGTATATCCATGCATAGTCGAGGTTATTTGTACAGTTCACCATCAGTTTTTTATATGCCTGCGTGTGTGTGTGTGTGTGTGTGTGTGTGTGTGTGTGTGTGTGTGTGTGTGTGTGTGTGTGTGTGTGTGTGTGTGCGCGCGTGCGCGCGCGCGCGAGTGTGTGTGTGTGTGTGTGTGTGTGTGTGTGTGTGTGTGTGTGTGTGTGTGTGTGTGTGTGTGTGTGTGTGTGTGTGTGTGTGTG